CACTTCTGCCACAAATCTCTCACAAGTGGGAGAATTTGATGGTGCTAATTCACGTTCAGCTGCAAGAGGCTCCGGTAATAGACATTTGCTGCCCAGCTGCTGCAGTCCAGGAAAGACTCAGTGGAAGGAAAGTGGCCTGGAAGGAAGATGAGCCAGCCACAGAATCCCACCCCACGCCACCTCCTAAGGCTGCAAAGCTTAAAGAAGGCAGCTGTGTAAAAGCAGACACACTAAATGCTGCCTGTGCCAAGGACACAGTCCAGCCGTGTCTTGACAGAATACCCCTCGTGATAAACTCACTCACTCCTCAACAAGCAACAGGCTTGTCCTCCTCATGCTGCTCTCACCCTCCAAAGGATCAGATCCTGAAACCCTAGATCCATAGAGAAACTAAAGCTGGTTCAGCACTTTCATACCAAGTCAAAGTTCCCACCTGAAGAATTTTCTTAAGCCAGTGGTTGCAAAATTTTCATATAGCAGAATTTAAAGAAAAAATAAAAGAAGCCAGGTACAGTGCAGCTTGGGAAACTGAGGCAGGAGGATCCCAAATTCAAAGCCAGCATCAGCAACTTAGCAAGGCTCTAAGCAACTTTGCGAGATTCTACCTCAAATTTTTAAAAAAGTTTAAAAAAGGGCTGGGGATGGGGCTCTGTGGTTAAGTGCCCCGGGTTCAATCCCTAATACCAAAAGAAAAAAAGCCAGAAGCAGTGGCACACACCTGTGATCCCAGCCACTGAAGATCACAAGTTTAAAGCTAGCCTGGGCAAATCAGCAAGACTGTCTCAAAATCAAAAATAGAAAGGATAGAGTATTCCTGGGGTCAATCCCCAGCACAAGGGGAAAGGGTGTGCGTGCATGAAACCAACAAAAACAGACAACAGCATGAATCCAGCCTGCACACAAGTATGTGGTATGCTGGAGGTTTACGTGTATTTTCCCAGTTAACCCTCACATTAGCTCTTTATGATAGGTGTAAATGGCCCTGTGTCACCCAAGAGCATATTGAAGCCTAGAGAGGTTAAGTAACTTTCTTAAGGTCACACAGTATAAAATGGCAGATCTGAGGATCAGACTTAGAGCTGAGCAGCCCAGCTCTCAACTGACACTCTCCCACCTCTGTCTTTAAATTATAACTCAGAGGGGTTCTCAGAGATGCAGGAAGCAGGTGCCTCACACAGTCAGGCTGTCCTCCTGCCCCCACAGAAGCCTTCTTTTGGCAAGCTCCCCCACCCCGTTCTCCAATCTCAGGTTAAACATTCTCCCCCAGCAAAGGAGCCTCCATAACCAGCTCTGCGAACTCAATAAAGGACTACATGAATGGAGACATATGTGACCAAAGCTAATCAATGCCTCCTAGATCAATGCAGATCCATGGAAGCCAACCTGGCTCCTGAGGAAAGGAAGCACACCACTAGTGAGCTCACACCTCCTCACTCACTAGCTGTGGGGTTCTAGACAAATACCACACTGGGTTCATGGGAATCCCTCAGCCCAGTCCCTCCCTTCCTAACAAGACGAGGACCCTGCTCAAATTACATTAGAAAATTTCCTTCGGGGAAGCAATTAAACATCAACAGTCACAACCTGCTAGCTCTGTGGTCTCAAAAGCTGTGTGATTCTGCAAGCTTCCCACCTCCTGCCCCAAACATCTGGCAATGCCTGGAGGAGACATGTCTGGGCATCTCGCACAGGGAGAACCACTGGCATCCAGTGGGCAGAGGTCAAGGGTACTGTGACACATCCTTCAGTGCACAGGTCAGCCGCCCACAACAGGGAGCATCTGTCCCAAAATGTCAACCATGCGCCACTGGAGAGGTCCTGCACTAACTTAACTTGGCAATGGGTTGACCTTCAGCATGATCTAGGATTAGGAACTAGAGAAAGCTTTAGGAAACAAAACAAAACCATGCAGAGTTAGCATCACAGACAGCTGCTGCTGGAAGAGGGCCAGGAATGCAGATGTTTAGCCTACTTGGTCTCTAACCCTGCACAGTAGGCTCAGAGAGGTAACTTGCCCAAGGTCACACAGCGATTAAGGAGGAGAGCTCTAGTGAGGCCCAGCTGGTGTGAGCCCTGAACCAGCACTCCTGACTGCAGTGCACTCCCAGCCTTGCCCCCAGCTGCTGGTCTGTTTCCCCCACTGGACTGCTAGCTGCATAAGGACCAAGACTCCCTCTACAGCTCAGGGTAGAGTCTGGCTCAGAGGTGTTTGTTACAGTGTGGGGAAGGAAGAACAAATGGCAGCTGGGCCTGTGGCTTCTGCAGGACAGTGGTCAGGCCCAGCCAGTCGCCCTGTCACTCCTCTGTTCCTATCTCACTCAGGTTACCTCATCAAGCTCTGCTCCCTCCAGTCACAAGCTCCCTGACCATCTTCACCTCTTTCCTCYAAACTATGTTCTCCTAGACCAGCCTCCCACAACACCACCCACGTGTCTTTCTATGGCATAGAGACCAAGGAGGAAGAGAACAGAAAGCAGGGGCAAGGGGCCAAGAGGAGAGGCAGATGTCTAAGGCCTGGGGTCCACAGAAGACCAGCTCCAGCCCTGGCCCTGCTCTCCACAAAGACTAACATAGTCCACACTCTTCAGTGCTCCTGCTGCAGGCCAGGCCTGGGGCAGGCTCTGGAGCATTCTTTGTAACTCCACTTACTCACCTACAAATGTTCAGTAGGCTCCACACATAATAGGCCCAGAACCCCCTCCTTCAAAGTCACTCTAGGCTGAAGCTCCTCTCTAACACTGAGACCCCAGGACAAACACCCTCTAGACTCTGTACACAGTATCACTTATTGACTCATTGTTGCCATATTCCACGTGCTCCCAAAAGCACTTTAGCCTGGCTGTCAGTAACAATGTCACAGCCATCAAATCAAGGATGAGGAGACAGCAACCAAGGAATAAAATAAAGAGGACACACTGTTTTCTGTGGCCCACACCTGAGGAAGGTTTTCAAGAAACAGCAGCTTTGGAAAATATCTAGAAATTGTATAATTGCTAGAGCTTCCCTCAAAAGGGAAGAGGTTCTAACAGACAACTCGGGTCCTTCAGGACAGAGGAGCAGGGCGCAGCCATAATCATCCCAAGTGACAGATAGGTAAAGCCTTCCATGTGTCAGGATCCACAACAAACTTGCACATTAACCCACTTAATCCCACCCCCAGGTGAAGAGGCCAAGCCCTAGGCACAGGAATGTAGAGGACACCAAGGGTAAGGGCAGAGCAGAATCAACACGTGACAGGCATTCTGTGCTAGGCTCTTAATAATGCTATGTTAGGGATGAGAAAATGACTAGAGAGGTGAAATAACTTGTTCAAGGTCACACAGCTAGGCTGTAGGTTCAATCTGTTGAATTCCAAAGCCGAGCTCTTTCTCTTACCACCCATTTCAAGCAAGTGTTCCTAGATAGCCTAAGGACCCCAGGGGACTATGGAGGCCTGTTTTCCAGGCCCTTTCCCCTGAGAGCCACACTTAACAGGCACCTATGGTATTCATAAATGGGGAAAGCTAAAAACAGCCCACCAATGAAAATCACACCACCACAGCATGGCACCTGCCTTGGAGGGGATGCTGACAAGAGTTCCCCACGGTTCAAGAACCCCACTCACTGAGCGCAATCACCAAGTTACCAAATTCTGAGACCAGAGACTCTACTAGAGCAGCAGGATACCTGTCAGCACATCAGAGAAAAAAAAGTAGCTAAAATCACTCAGGGCTGGTCTTAGACTCATCCAATGTCCTGCATGTAGCTGATGAAGCAACTGAGGCAGCAATAATGACTGTCTGCTCAGTCAGACACCTCCAGCTGACTCCAGCCAGCACATGATCCAGTACAGCAAAGGTCCAACATGGGCTTCACCAGGGGCATGTGCACAGCCAGGGTGGCCACAAATGCTTCCAGCTGTGAAGCTTTGGGCCCAGAGGCCCCCGAAAAGCAGCTGTGAAGCTGCTGGCAGTCCTGCACACTCTCTCCAGGCTCCATGCCCTTCTGTACAGCATTCCAGAGTTTGGGAGATCATACTTGCTTCTGTGACTGACTGATGTGTCCACTTGTTTTGGGGGTCACATGGTGACTGCAGATGAAGTGACATCAGTAGTAATAACTCACATTTCTTACACCRTGCTCTCTGGCAGAGACCAGGCTGGTCTATCTGGGTTTTCCAGTTGTGGTCCTGTTCTGGTGCTTATGCCCTGGCCTGGTCCTGCTGTCACTGCACTGCAGCCACATGGGTTCCTGTGGGATAATGTGCAATAGAAATAACCTCATGACCTGAGGTTATTTCAATTGCATATTACCCCACACGACCTACCTAGAACAGGGCCTCAAACACAGATGCTTCCTGAACAAAAGCATGAGAGCACAAGCAAGAGGCAGTAGCCGAAGTAGCCAATTCCTAGGACTTTGGGGACAACAGACACACCAGGAGGCCTGTGTGGTAACTGGGGACAGGGTGCCACGAAGTGGGTATACAGGCCAGACTCAACACAGAAGGGAACGCATGTGGCTGCAGTGCAGTGACAGCAGGACCAGGCCAGGGCATAAGCACAAGAACAGGACCACAACTGGGACACCCAGATAGACCAGCCTGGTCTCTGCCAGAGGGCACAGTGTTAAAAATGTGAGTTATTACTACTGATGTCACTTCATCTGCAGTCACCATGTGACCCCAAAAACAAGTCATTAGATAAGGGCCCTTTAGAGCCTAAGGCTATCAAACTATAGCTGCTGATTTGGTGACAATGACCACCTATGAGTTACCCAGAGCTACAACAGGCCAGAGACCAAAAAGTGACAGAGACTGCAAGTGAAGCCAAGGACACAGGGAGGAACGAATGATAGAGTCACCAGCAGACCTGACCCACACAACTCCCATGCTGCTGGGCAAGGCATGGCTGTCTGCAGGACACAGCACCTGCTCAACCAGGACACATGACACACATTACAACAGAACAAGGCGATAGGTCTGCAGTCCAGCTCCTCCACAGTGACACAGACAGCATTACCTTGTAAAGAAGCTACTAAATGGTGCCAGTATCCTCAGTTTACTCCCCTCCTCGGTTCCATCAGCCCAGCCCTGCTGGTGCAGGTCACTGCTCTCCTTGATGGAGCTCAGGGTGACGTCAGTAAACTGTGGGTCATCGTCATTCTCCAGGGTCACAATGGCACTGGAGCTGCTCGTGACCATGAGGTCCAAGATGTCCTCATTGCTGACAGACAGCGTGGTGGACAGCTCTGTGCCAAGACTAGACACACTACAGATGGAGACATCATCACTACGGTTCAGGGTTTTGGAGGTGGGACTATAGAGCTTCACTGAGTCATAGCCTGTCCTGGGAAATGTGGAGGACTTCCGCACAGTCTGCTCACGCTCTGCACTGGTGGGAGCCAGAGGTGTGCAAGATGGTAGTGGGCATGCACTCTGGAAGGCCCGCTCAGGGACAAGCTCTGACTCCGACTGCTTCCTCTTCACAAGGGCCACACTACAGGGGACAGGTTCTGGGTTGCCAACCTCCAAGGTAGGAATGCCAGAGTCCACTGACTGAAGGCTGTGCCGGTCTTCTGAAGCACCAAGTTTCAACTTGGGCCCGTACTCAGGTGTTGAGAGGGATCTGGACCCCTTGGCATTCACTTGCTGCAGGTTCTGAAGGGGTTTTCCCTGATGAGCATCCAGAATGTCCATCAAGGCTATGCCATTTGTGGAAGTGGAAAGGTTTCCATCAGTCATCTTGGTCCAAGGAGAAACTAGAAAAACACAAGACACAGAAATCAGGCAGGTGGACATAAGACCCACAGATGCCATTCCTCAGACACAGCTCACTACTAGGACATCCCTTCTAAAGGGGGATGACATGGAAAGAGTCCCACATAACCAAATTTTGATTCAGAACCAACCACATCAAGAATGTTAACATGCACTATCATGTCAGAAAATACCCCAAACAAAGCATATATCTAAAGCAAAAATCATTATCTTCATCATTGTCACCCCACCAGTCACATCTCTGATACTCAGGACAGTGCTGGGAACCTGAGAACTATGCTAGGCAGGGAGGAAGTTTTTTTTTTTATTTGGAGGTCAGGGAACATATTATAATTTGGATTTGAATGTCCCCAGAGGTCTATGTGTTGAAAAGTTGGTCTACAAACTATGGCACTTTGGGGAAGTCGTGGCACCTTTGGGAGGCAGGGCTGTGAGAAACAGAAAGTCCAGAGGTCTGTTAACCATACTACTAATAGAGTGCTTAGCCTTAACTGGGAGGTAAGATCCAATCATAGCCATTTTAACTCTAGTCCTTCCCTTTGCCCACCCCAATCTTAAAATTAGCCAGTTGTGTAGACTATAACCCTGAACTCCTCCTGTCAGAGCAAGGGGCAGTGCAGCATTAGGGATAAAACTGGAGGACTGCCCACCTAAGCGGGCTTATTAGCCAGACTCCGGAGCACGCCTTCCTGGTAGAGGTAAAGCTGCCTTGCTGAGCTCCTTCCCAGCTCATATTGGATTCCTTGTGGCACTCTGGTTATTTCTAACAGGGCTCAATGGGTGGAATTTGGGTCACTAGGAGTGTGCCTTGAAGACGATATTGGGACCCTTCCTATTGCTCTTCTTACTTCCTGGCTGCCATGAGGGGAAGAAGCCTCTTCTACCATATACTCCTGCCARGATGTACCATGCTACCCCAGGCCCAAAGCAACAGAGCCAAGTGACCGTGAACTGAAACCTGAAACTATGGGCCAAAATAAACCTTTCTTTCTCATAAGTTGTTATCTCAGGTATTTTGTCACAATTACACAAAGCTAATTCAGGGGGACAAATGAMMAAWWRGRWWA